AAAAAAAAAAAACCCACAAAGACACATAGCGAGACCTTGTCTCAACCCCCGTACCAAAAAAGTTTTAGAATTTAAAAAAATCGGGGCCAGGGAATATAGCTCAGTGCCACAAGCACCTGCCTGGCAAGTGCAAGGTCCTGAATTCAATTCCTGATCAAAAAAAATTTTTTTTTAAAAATTACAATAAAAGACATATCCATTGTTCTTGCCACTTTTTCAAACAGTTCTGGAAGTCTTATGTTTCCACAGGGTGTGATCAAAAACATAAGGAATACTGCTCCCAAGTACCATCTAGCAGAAAGGCTTGTAAAAGCATTATAGTGAGTCCTCACCCATCTTATTCACCAGATCTGGCACTGTGTTACTCCTGGCTCTTCTCCAAAGTCAAAACAACCATGAAAGAATGATGGGTGTGTTTGAAGTGAGGACGAGTATTTTCTTTTTTTGAGACAAGGTCTCACAATGTGGTTCAGATTGGCCTTGAACTATGTAGCCCAGGCTGGCCTGAAGCTCTCAGCGATCCTCCTGCCTCAGCCTCTCAAGTGCTGGGATTACAGGTGTGCGCCACCACACCCAGCTCACTGTGATAAATTTAAACATTCACTTTTTTTTGGTATCACATCCTGTATAATGACCTGTAATTACCAGCACAAAGTAGCTCAACCATAGGAAAGTTTCTAGCTCACAATGCTCCCTTCCTTTACCATACCTATACCCTAAACATTCAGTCAGAGTAGCTAAATGACTTTTTTTTGGAGACAGGGTGTCAGTCCAAGATGGTCTCATGGTTCTCCTGCTTCTCAACCTCCCCAATGCTGGTGTTACAGGTATTTACTGCCATTCCCAGTAACAATTTTTTTCCAGTACTGGGGATTAAGGCTGGGGACACTCTACTATGTACTGTGCTACATCCCCAGCCCTTTCTTTGGTTATTTTGAGACAGAGGCTTGCTAAGTTGCCCTGGCAGTATTTAAACTTTCGATCCTCCTGCCTTAGCCTCGCTCAGTGCTGGGATTACAGCCCTGCGCTATCTGCTTCCAGCTCGGCAACACCCACCCCCCAACTCCCACAAAAAATTCTTAAGCCTGCAGGTGAAACCCCCTACATTCAGGAGTCTCTATTCTCTAGCACAGGAGCTATAATGAAACCAGTTACTATCCAGTGTACTACTAGTGACAGGCCTGTTTAGTGGACAATATATCCTCCCATCCTTTTTTTTGTTTTTTTTTTTTTTTGGTTTTTCTCCGGTACTGGGAACCGAACTCACGACCTTGCGCGTGCCAGGCAGGCACTTTTGCCGCTGAGCTAAACCCCCAGCCCCTATCCTCCCATCCTTGAAGCGGGAAAGAACCACCAGTTTTATCCGCCACACAACCTTCAGTGCTTTAAAAAGCACCTCCAAAAACAAAAACAGTGCAGGTAGAATAAAATAACACCTCTGGGTATATCACTGATCAAATTTAAAACTCCAGCTTGATGATCATTTCATAAACAACCCCCCACCCTTCTTTAAAGGTCTCACTGTGTAGTTCAGGCTGGTCTTGGAACTCACTACGAAGCCTAGACTGGCTTCAAACTTCTGGTGATCCTACTGATTCAGCCTCCTGAGTACAGAGATTACAGGCATGCGTTGCCATCCCTGGCTAGAAAACTCAATTTTAACTAATTATATAGGATTCTTTTTTCTCAATCTTAAAAACAGCACATACCGGCAAAACCAGTCCTATCCACATTAGTGCTACACCACCCAACGCTGTCATGCCCATACACTCTACCTAGAAATATTGACTCTGTAGGGCGTGGCACCATAGCCACCCAGCCCCAGAGAATGTCAGCTCTGTCAAGCAACCTGTACCTTGTCTTAGTGTCTTAGGCTTTCTCATTCATAAAATATGTGAAATCGCAGCCACCTCTAATCCCACAAGTCCAGAGACCACTTCCCCCAAAAGACACTTTATAGCTTCTTTCACGAGATTATTAGATAAAAAGAACAGGCTGGTGTTTGACCAGCTATCTTGCCTACAAGCCCAAATGTCTGTCTGGAAAGCCACTATTAAAACAAGAAGGAAAGCCAGGTTATAGTGCACACCTATAATCCAAGCACTCAGGAGACTGAGGCAGGAGGATAATTAGGAGTTTGAGAACAGCCTGGGCTACAATAAGTGAGCTCAAGGCCAGCCTGAACTGCATAGTGAGATCCTGTCTCAAAAAGACAAAAAATAAAAATAAGTAAATAAAATAAAACAAGGGAGTCTGTCCCACCCTCCTCAAAAAACCCAACACTCACACTACTGCACATGCAGAACATTGCCAAGGTAATTACACAAATTCTGAGTCTGTATTATACCATCAAAAGGCAAAAACCAACCACATAAACCCTCCCATCCTCTTGAGGATGTCCTTAACTAAATTAGCCAGAGAGGCCAGAGATTAAAATTACTTACATGAGGGGCCTTCTGTCCCTCTCTTGGACAGAAGCTTTCTTTCCCTCAATAAATATATTCTGCTTTTAACCTCCACTGTTGCTACAATTCATCTTCAATTTTAGAGAACACGCACTCATCCCAGGTATCATTCAGGTTGGGAGTTCTTTTTCCTGTATCATTTTGGAGGTCCCCTCCGAGATCCTTGGATGGAGACTTACAGCTATACGCGTACCCAAGATGAAAACGCCTGGTGTCTATCGAGGGCCTTTAGATAGACCCTCTGAAGAGTATCTCTGACTGCCGATCAACAACTACGACCCCTTTCAGCCTGAAGAAGCCAGAGCAGTCACTGCCCGTTACTCCCTCATGGCAGTTCGGGTTACTTCTTCAGAGTGGGGAATGTCATAGGCAGCTGAGTTAGACAGAAATATTATAGGTGGTCAGACAGGGCCAGGCCCTCGAAGAAGCCAACATGAAAGACAAGATGAGATACCTGTGGGCCAGACCTCAAGACAAAAGGACTAAACAAATGCACCCACACACCTCCCTAAGTGTGAACATCAGGGACTCATACTCTAAATAACTAACAACGACCTTCAAAAAGCCAGAAAGAGTCACTAGCCCAACCCTCCACAGGAAAAGCCTCTGTTCTATATTCATGCCTGCTTGCTACTCACTTCCCCATTTGATCCCAGTTCACTCAATTTTACCTGAACAAGTATACTTGTAATCTTATTGGCTGACCAATGTTTTGTCCCACCTCAAACCCACCTTGTAATTTCCCATTTTCCCCCTATCTTGGACTCACCTCACCTTGGCGTTTTGCTCTAGAAAGTCCCTGGGAAGGGCAAGGTCCTTGGGCAACCTGCTCAGGTCCCCTTCTGTCCCTCTCTTGGACAGAAGCTTTCTTTCCCTCAATAAATATATTCTGCTCTTAAAAAAATAAATAAAATAAAATTACTTACATGAAATACACACATCTCGAACTAAGGCTTCCAAAAAACTGGCATAATATAATGACTTTTCATATTGTGTAATTTTATCTTTTAGTAACTTTCCAAACTCTGTGAAATCATCTCTTGAAGATGGATTCATAGCATCTATTCCATAAACTGCGTTATTAACACCTGCGAAAGAGAAGAAGCACTAAAAATATTAGGGTTTTCTTTTTAATATTTATAAACCAATTAGCTATATAAATAACCCTATTACTTCATTCCAAAACAAGGGTTCTTAACCTGGTCTACTGGACTCCTTGAACAGAATTTAGGGAATCCGTGAATTGGAAAAAAACTTACATCTTGACTTTTTTCTAATCTGTAATTTACCATTTCCTTCACTTTTTATTATGGGCAGTAGGTAATAACAGCTTCCAGCGGAGACCACACATATCACATGACAGCTGTTGCAGATACTTCTTCCTCTGTTATTGTCCAGTCATCATTACTTTCAAAATACATAGTAGACCTGACACTGGCTCCTACTGAATATATATATTAAAAACACGGGTGGGCTGGGAGCACAGCTGTGAGGCCCTAATTCAATGCCCAGCACCTCGCAACAGATCAACAGATAAACAATTCTGTGTCATAAATTTGTCATTTTAGTGTTGTAATACCTATTTCAATATAATAAGCTTCCTTTGTAAATAAAACCGTATGTATTCCCATTCATTATAAATGTTATATTACAAAGCACCCACAGGATTCAGAAGCTGCCAAAAGAGCACAAAAAGATCGCTCCTATAATCAATGACTGTATGCACACTGGTGCTCCATACTAGGCTTTATGCACATCACATAAATTCACCTCTTTGATAGGCACACTGGCAGCTTTCACCATGCTGTAAAGACACCGAATAAAAGCCAAGTGTGCTCTTTAACTAGATGAGAACTTTTAGGACCTGCCAAACAACAGGAGCACCCACAGCCACTGGCAGGTCCTCACTTCCTAAGGAAAAGCAATGATTGCTTCCTAAGTCAGCCCTTAATACACTTTAGAGACAAAGGGTGGAGTGAATTGGTAGTGAACCTATGGTACGTGTGCCGCAACGGGCACATAGAGCCTTCTCTGTTGTGAGCCAAGTGTATGAGTTGTTTTTTCTAAACTAAAACCTCAGCATTACGCTTTAACTGCAGTTGGCATTTTGCAATAAATAAGTGGGTTTTGAGATGCCATCAAAGAGCTACACAGTTCTTGGTTACAGATTTCAATTTCAAAGTTATTTAATTATTTGATGCTTTATTCTGAAAAGCACCCGTAAGTAACAGCAAGAAATCTGTTTGAAGGCTTTAACTATTTCTCTCTGCCATGTCTTTTATCCTACCCTGTGTCATGTGACTCTCCTGGAACACTACATTGCTTTTATCTCACCCATCTATCACAGCTGCAGGCATAATGATAGCCCTTCAAAGACAGGGGCACTATAGGGCTGGAAAGGATCACAGAAAGAAATGACCCTAAGCACAAGAAGCCAAGGACAGAGGCCTGACCTGCACCAGTATTCCACTGTCCCAGTCTTAGGTAGATTTAAACCAACAGGTTAGCACTGTAGTCAGCTCAGTATTTAAATTTCAAAGCTACAGACCTTTGATTTCATCTCAACTTCATCCAGCCAATAAATATATTCTAGGCAACAGTATTACTTATTTGGATCCAATGTCTACTTCCTTTAATTTTTTAACTTTTTAAATTTCTTGTGTGTATCTTTTTGAGACAGGGTCGCACTATGCAGTTCAGGCCAGCCTTGAGCTCATTTTGTAGCCCAGGCTTGTCTCGAACTCGAAATGATCCTCCTGTCTCAGCCTCCTCAGTGCTGGGATTACAGGCGTGCGCTACCACGTCCAGCTTACTACTTCCTTTAAAAATCTTTTGATACTCCAAATAATTATTCAAAATCATGTGCCTCATTTTACCTTCTCAAGTAAATACAGACTAAAACTGCTTTCTGGTGTCTAAATTAGACACAGTAGGGCCGGGGATATAGCCCAGTGGCACAAGCGCCTGCCTGGCAAGCACAAGGTCCTGAGTTCAATTTCTGGTACCAAAATAATAATAATAAAATTAGACACAGTATCATGTTTCCTTTAAAGAAGATGTTTTCTGTATTTCACAACTAATAAGACTTCCTAATAAGACTTCCAGAACTTTCACCTGGTACAATGTAACTGCACCTCCACCTTACCAAAAGTTTCTTTTGCTAATTCAAGGTCTGACTCTTCCTGTAATTTCTTTAGCCGCAGTTTATCTGCTAATTGTTCTTCTGGTGTTAGCACTTTAGGTTCTTCAGGTTCTTCTAACTAAAATAAAATGGAACAGAACATTAAGAAGGCTGAGATTAAGATGGAATCAGTACATTTCTGGTCCTGGGGATTGAACACAGGTATATACTGAGGTACGTCTCTAGCCCCACTCCCTTTTTTTCCAGACAGTCTCTGTGAGTTGCTCAGGTGAAACTAGAGCTATGATCCTCCTGCCTTAGGCTACCAAGTGCTGGGTTTACAGGAATGTGTCACAAGGCCTGGCTTATACTTTAGATATTTTCATCCTAACTGTACAGATAAAAAAAAGAGGCAGAGGAGTTAAACAATTAGCCCACAATAACAGAAGTTAACATATCTAGTTAGTAATGTAACAGAAGTGAAATGTGAACCCAATACGACTGAGGTTTTTTTGTTTTGTTTTTGTTTCTTGAGAAAGGGCCTTGCCAATTTATCCAGGCTGGCCTTGAAATTGCAATTCTCCTGCTTCAGCCTCCCAAAGGCCGCTTTAAAGGCATGTGCTATCACACTTCACTCTATACACTTTTTTTTTTAGAAATAAGGAACTAAGCTTATGGGAAAGGGGAAAAAGGCAACCTCACATACTGCTGCACAAACTATCCTGGGACAACTTGCTACAGCAGAAGTAATATGCATCAAGTTTTAAAGAACTTTCATATGGTAGCTGAAAATATAGCTCAATAGTAGATCATTTACCTAGCATGACTGAAACCCTGAGTTTAAGCCCCAGCCTGAAAAAAATTTTTTTAGATACTTTAATTAAGTAATTCTACTTCTAGGTATTGATCTTCAGATACCTAAGATTTAAGCACAAAGAAGCATAATTTCAGAAAATTTTAGAGATAACCTAAATGTCCAACAAAGAACAGTAATGAAATCTGGCACATCCATCTAACAATACTATGTACACCGTAACACGTTCCCACAGGCTTGAGTGGTACAAGCGTGACTGTCTCAAATGGCTTATATCACCAATGGTACCAAGAGATCTAGTCACTTTTATTGGGCTTTTTACAAATAAAATAAAAAGGCTATAAAGAGACCAAATCTAATTAGTTGCTTGAATGTGAATTATTACTGCCCAAATATAAAAATGAGTACTATTTATACCAATTTAAAACATCTAATAACCAACGAATTTATTCCATTAAATTAATAATTTATCAATAATTAATTCTCTAAATTTTAACATGGAAATCTCACAAGTATCTCACTGCTGGTGCATGTAGTATGTACTTACAATTGCTACACCACAAATTACTCATGCATGTACCACCAATGGTCAAGAAGGCAGGATGACTGAACTGAAATCAGAGCTGCCCAGCAGTCAGATATATCAATTACAGCCCCATCATGAACATGTTAAAAAAATATGTCATTACTCAAAGCATCAGAAAGTGTCTCCCTTTTATTTTTATGTATTTAGTACACAATTATGAATGCAAGTATTGGACTAAGATATAGCTCTATGCAAAGTGTGTGCCTAACGTTCAAGAGGCCTTGGGTTCAATCCCCAGCACCACTGTCCAAAAAAAGTAATTACTGTAAAACATGCAAAAAGATACAATAGTAAGAAAAAAAGTTTTCACTTATTTCCAAATCTCATTCCTTTGAGATGACAGTTAACACTTTAATGTATATCTTCTATACACTGTTATGTAATTTCTACAACAACCAAAGAAAACGGAAACTCTGGGAGGCTGAAGCAGGACCATGAGGAGTTCCAGGCCAGCCTAGATCACATAACAAGACCATGTCTCAAGAAAACAAATGAGGGCTGAAGGGAGGGGAGGGGAATAGGAAAAACTAGAAGCAGTAAGATGTACCGTGCACAGGTACAAATTCCCTATGATGAATATTATCATTATGTAGATCTAAACTGTACTGATAAAATTTTTAAAATACCAATGAAACAAAAAACTAAATTATTAAAAAGTACCTAAAAGGTTTCAAACCAAGGAGGACCAGGGGAGGAGGCACTCTCTTGCACTGTTAGCAAATACAGATTAGAATAACCCTACGTAAAAGGCAATTTGAGAACCTAAGACTATACATGTGATTTCCCTTGACTCAGCAATGCCGTATTTGGGGATTTATCTTTTAAATATGGATATACCTGTTAGAAAGGACAATATGTAGTTGAGTGTGGCAGCATACACCTGTAATCACAGAACTCCGGAAGTTCCACACCACCCTGAGCAATTCAGCAAGACCTTGTCTCAAACTACTAAACAAAAAGGGCTAGGGATGTAGCTCTTACATACATTGTAAAATAATTAAATCAAGTATGAAGGTCTTGGATTCATTCCCTGTATCCCCACCACCACCACCAAAAAACAATTTATATAGTTATTTACTTAAGTATTTATCAAAGAAAGACCTGATGTAAAAACCAACTACCCATCAATAGATAACTTGTAAAATAAATTATGGTAACACCTAAGCAACAGAATATTATATAGCTATCAAAAAGAGTGAGAATCAACCAGAAACTAATGAAATCTGATTACAGGAGGCTATAGGGAGCAGGTAGAAGTTTGGAATGGATGTCTGAAACATCCTTCCCCTGTTTTATTACGTTATAACTAACAAACTGTGTATAGCTATAGTGTACATATTTTATATATATATGTATACACATTGTAAAATAATTAAATCAAGCTGATCAGTATATCTATCACCTCACATATTTTGTATGATGAGAATATTTAAGACCTACTCTCACATAAATGACACTTTTCTGAGTATTGGATGTTTGTATATAAGGCTATACTTTCAGGGATCATTTCTATAGTATGGATTTTTTTTTTTTTTTTTTAGTTTTTAGTTTGTTTGGTTTTTTTGTACCATAAATCGAACTCATGACCTCACACTTGCCAGGCAGGCGCTGTGTCACTAAGCTACACCACTGACCCCGTATAGTTTTGATTTCTGAACATTTCATACATTCAAAAGTAAATGCAAAAGGAAAAGATCTCAAACTGAAAACAAAGCAGAAACAAAATTCTCTAAAATATATATACTAAAAAGGCCAGGAATGGTGGCACACTTGTAATCCCACCACTCAGGAGGTTGAGGCAGTAATATCGCTGTAAGTTCAAGGCCAACCTGGACTACAAAGTGAGTTAAGGCCAGCCTGCACTGCACAGCTCAACCCTGTCTCAAAAAGACAAAAATATAAAATAAAATAAAAATCAAACAACATAAAATGACATAGGAAACTATTCAAATGATTTTATGATCTAGGACTTGATTATACAGCCTAAATAGGATATATCCTAAATACAAAAGAACTGCAAAGGAATCCTAAACTTCATTCAGTAGCTTTATAAAGTAGTTAACATTACTACTGTTGAAAAAAGCAAACAATTATGTATTTATTAGAAACCAGGATTTTTAGCGTAAGAAAAATACTGATATGAACCATTAAACACACACACACACACACACACACACACACACACACACACACACACACAGTGTTCATGAAAGGGGGATTTCAAAGGCAGGGTCACCCCGACAGCAGTACTCTTAGCAACTACATTGTTTCTAAATACCATTTTCATCTCACCGATACTTACTGTACTAGAAAATACCAGAAATAAAGAAGCTTTCAGAAACAAATGGGGTTCCGTCAAAAGGTAAACATAGGAGTCACGTACAGTGGCATGTGCCTAAAATCCCAGCACTGAGAGGCTAAGGCAGAAGGATCATGAGTTTGAGCCTGGCCTGAGGAACTCGGCCACTAACAAACTACTCTCTCCTGATTAAATAAAAAAAAATTATATATATATATATATATATATATAAAGATCTAGGGATGTAGCTCAGAGTAAAGGCCCTGGATTCAATCGTCACCAAAAAATCAAAAAAAAACCAAACAAACAAAAAAAAACAACAGAAGAACTTAGGAATTAGCTTTATGAAATTTCTACTGGCCAAGCTAGGGATACAGCTCAGTGGCACAATGACTGCCTGGCAAGCGCAAGGTCCTGAGTTCAATTCCCGGTACCAAACTGAAAAAAAAAGGAATTTCTACCGGCTAACACTGAAACAATTTGAGCATCAAAACATAATCTGCTGAGTAAAACAATGAATTTACAAAAACTGGTAAGTTCTTAAATACCTAAAAAACCCTCTCATTTGTCACCATCTGAAGTTATTACGCCCTTTCTTTATTTCAATTATAAAGAAGCAATCAGATAAATGTAGGTTTTAGCCAGGCATTTTGGCATATGCCTGTAATCCCAAGCACTTGGGAGGCTGAGGTAGGAGAATCACTACAAGTTCAAGGCTAGTCTGGGCTACATGAGTTGGAGGCCAGCATGACCAATATAGTGAGACACTGTCTTAAAAAATAAAAATAAAAAAGTAAAAATAAAAATAAAAATAAAAGGTTTCAGATGCCTATGAGATAATCAGCCTGAGGGAACATCATAATCCCTGCCTTGAAATTATACTATAAAGCTACTGTCATAAGAACAGCATGGTACTGGGGAAAAAAAAAACCCAGACCCAAAGATCAATGGAACAGATTAGAAGATGCAGAAAAAGCTATAGATATATTCAGCCACCTTATCTTTGACAGAGGTGTCAAACACATTCACTGGAAGGAAGATAGCCTCTTTAATAAATGGTGCTGGAAAATCCAGCTTTGCATATGCTGAAGATTAAAATTGGATCCATTATCTTTCACCATGCACTAAATTTAAAATGGATCAAAACAGAAACATTAAGTCTGCTGGAAGACAGAACAGTTAAAACTCTTGAAGACATTGGTGTAGGCAAAGACTTTATGAATAAAACCCCAATTGCATAGGAACTATCACAAAGAATCAACAACTGGGATCTCATCTTATAAAAAGGTTTTGGATAGCAAAAGAAACCATCAACAGAGTGAAGAGACAACCCCCAACACATGGGAAAAAATGTTTGCCAGCTGTTCTTCAAAGGGTTACTTTTTTTTTTGTCTTTTTGAGACAGGGTCTTACTATGCAGTTCAGGCTGGTCTTGAACTCACAACGATCCTCCTGCTTCAGCCTCCCAGGTGCTGGGATTACAGGTGTGCACCACCACACCCAGCAGGTGTTCTACTATTAAGAACATAAAAGAACTAAAAAAAAATTAGACCCCCCAAATTTATTTATCTTTTTGAGACAGGGTCTCACTATGCAGTTAAGGTTGGCCTTGAACTCACTTATGTAGCCCAGGCTGGCTTCAAACTCCCAGCAATCCTCCTGCCTCAGCCTCCCAAGTGCTAGGATTACAGGCATGTGTCACCATGCCCAGCTGACCTCCCAAATTTAAAGACCCAATCCAAAAATGGGCATCTGAAATGAACACATACTACTCAGGTGAAGAAATACAAACAGCAAATAAATATATGAAAAAGTGTTCAACATCACTGGTCATTCAAGAGATGCAAATTAAAACACTGAGATTCCATCTCACCCCAGAAAGAATGGCTGTTACTGCTTTTTTAACTTTCTTTAAAATAAAAACATTAAAAAATAGAAAACAGAAAAGCAACACCGAGATTTCATCTCTCCCCAGAAAGAATGGTTACTATCAAGAAATCAACCAATAACAAATGCTGGAGGGGCTGTGGGGAAAAAGGAACCCTTCTCCACTGTTGGTAGAAGTGTAGACTGCTGCAACCACTGTGAAAACCAGTGTGGAGATTCCTCAAAAAACTAGGATTGGAGGTTCCATCTGACCTAGCTATTCCTCATCTAGGTTATCTTCCCAAAATTAAAAACATCATACCACAGTGATATATGTGCACCCATGTTTACAGCAGCACCAACTATAATAGCTAGATCTTGGAAACAACCCAAATGCCCATCAACCGAGGAATGGATAAAAAAGATATTGATTCATACAATGGAGTACTACTCAGCCATAAAAAGGGTAAACTGGAGACTTTTATAGGTAAATGGATGCAACTTGAGACCATATTCGTAAGTGAAATAAACTAGATGTACATGTGTACACATCATATTGTCTCCCTACTGTGAGAAGTTTAAAAATTAAATAAGATCCAAAATGTACAACAAATATTGTAAAATGGAAGGAAACTTTAAAAGGAAAGAGAAACTGGGATGGGGGAATGACAAAAGGAAGGAAAAAGAAAAAAAAATATATATATATATAAAAGATAGTTAAGATAGTTATACTACTAGTTTCTCTTGGTTCAATGAAAAGGAAGGTTTGTGCTAACATTGTTTGGACAATTAAAAGTCAGTATCTTGTACTCTGAGTAACTAATTTAAAGATAACAATATGCAATGTATTAACCATTGTTACTTTCCTATTAAAAAAAAAAAAAAAAATTGGTGTGCTGGCGCCTGCCTGTAATCCTAGCACGCGGCAGGCTGAGGCAGGAGGAGAGTTGCCAGTGCGAGACCAGCCCGGGCTACATAGTGAGCTCAAGGCCAGCCGGAACTGTGAAGTGAGAACCTGTCTCCAAAAAAAAAAAAAGAAAGATAACCAGCCTGTTCCCTTCAACAGGTGGGGCAGTGTGGAGAAGGACATTCTTTGATTAGAAAGCACTGAAGACACACAATGATTTGTTTATTGTTGCAAAAATGAACTGAAACCTTTCACCTGAAGATAAGAGTGTATTTGAATTCCAGGAGATCCCTATCTTTCAGTCTTGCCATGCATTGTAAAAATTAATGGGAAGTAAGGACTATGACTGTAACGGATTGATAACTGGTGGTCAACTTATAACCCCCAGCTGAACTGAGTAAGCATGGTGCTGGGTGTGGGAGGTCCACCTGGGGATTGTTGCCAGCAGCATAAGAGGCAGAATTGGAGAAGGATAATGCTTTAATTACTAAAACATTTGGTATCCGCCCATTTGCACTAGCTATGCCCTTCGTTCTCGCTCAGTAAAAGGTGACTGAGATTGGTAATGGGGGCTGCAGTCTGAGAGGCTGTAAGCCCCCTGATCCCAGACTTTTGCTTCTCTTTTCTTGTCTCTCTTTTTTCATCCGCGGGCACCTCATTCTCGAGACCTGTCACCTTGGTTAGAACGACAGGATGGGGGCCCAGAGTGGTATATGACAAGTGGGATAACAATGACAGGAAGAATACATTCACTACCCAGAGACTTGTGCTATATTAACAACTAAATGCAATCCATGGTTCCTTGTTTGAACAAACAATACCTAAAAGGCATCTTGGGATAACTAGAAAAACATATAAAACAATAGATCATGTAAAAAGAAATCATTCTTCACTACTTGATATGATAATGTTACTATAATCATATGAAAAATGCCCTTTTTTGGAGATGCATGCTAAAATATTTAAAGGTAAAATGTATGTTTTTTTATTAATATTTTAGCAAAGTAGTAGATAAAACAAATTTGCAACATGTTAACAATTTAAATTTAGTGATACAGGATTGTATTATGCTAATTTCTCTACTTTTATGTTTGAAAATTCTCATAATAAAAAGTAAAGATAAAATAGGTTTTTTTGACTTGTATGGAAAGATCTCCACTATATATTAAGTAGAAATGAAGGTAGAAACTATATTCAAGAAAGGAGAAGAATAAGAACATACAGATGTAGGGGGCTGGGGATTTAGCTCAGCAGCACAGAGCCTGCCTGACAAGCGCAAGGTCGTGAGTTCGATTCCTGGTACCAGAAAAAAAAACAAAACAAAAAAAAGAATATACAGATGTAACCAAACATAAATTTTGAGTAATAAGAAACCAGTATTTAATTATGGAATATGAGGAAAGATACAAGATAAATGGGTAAAAGATTGAGAATGCTTTTTAATGCTGTTTATTTTTTGAACCATATAAATGTGTTTTGTATTCAAAAAACAAATAAAGTAACACAATATTCCTAATCCTGCTCCAAATAATCAAAAACATTTATAAAGTCGATGGACAGAACTGAACACTTTTATTTCAATCCATATGTTCCCTACAGATAATCAAGATAATTAAGACTAGAAAAACTGAAGCCACTGACAAAAATCACTGACTATAACCACTGGGCAATCATGACTATCCCTCAATGTCTGTGAAAGCTTAAAATGCATTCTGATACATGAAGTTTCTGTGTCCTGTTTATGCAAAAACCACAGTCAATCTGTTTTGGGATTTCTCTATCTTATGGTATCCATTATAGTCTTCACAGAGCCCTTCAAATTGCTACAGAATATTTGTAGCTGATTAGACACTGTACCACACTGATGTAAGAATTCTGTATATACTCGTAGTTTAGAAAATGAACAGTACTTACCCTCTTTTTAATTTCTTCTTGCCTTTTCTTCTGTTGCCGTTCTTTCTCTTTTATCTTCTCTGCTATTTTTTTCTTTTCTGAAATTTTTACTTCTGAAAGTAAAAAATGTTTCATTTACAATTATACTGACTACTTTCCAACTGCCAGTCTATGGATGAGACAGACATGATATCCGGGTATCTGAAGAGATCAAACCTTTCCCAGCTTTCATATTCATATGGTGATGTCCTAGAAAGTAAGAATGGGAAAGCTCCGAGGTTCTCCCTTTTTCTCTCTAATATGAACCCTAGGATCCATACATTTCCATAAACCAAGCCTCACCTTCTTGAAAAAAGATGATCATTCAACTGTAATGTCACATTCTCTGCTCGCTCCTACTAATAATCAATACCCAGCACACAGGGCTGGGGATATAGCTCAGAGGCATAAGTGATTCCCCTGAAAGTCTGAGGTCATAAGTTCGATTCCCGGTACAAAAAAAAAAAAAAAAA